GATTGATCCAAAACTACGAGAGATCGAGGTTTGTTTAACAATTATTTTTCCATGCGAATTAGAAAATTTTCTTTGTTCTCAACTTTTATTTCTCAACTGTTATTTTAATGTTTATAGAAAGCCCAGTCTTATCACACATTTACATTTAGCAAAACAACATTTGGATTATTATTTTGTGAGTCCACCGGATTATTCACTGAACAGCAGGTATTAAATATTAAACAGCCACATTCCACAAACATTATTTAAATTAACCACTTATTTTATTTATATAATTGCCAGTATTTTGAATGCTACGCAGTTTGTAAAATTGCTGCACAAGAAATAATAGATGAAATTCGCGTGAAAATTCAATCGGATCTCATCTAACGAATTCTCATTTTTAAATTACAAACATTTTTGTATCGACTTTTCTCGATAAATGTCACGTGTACAAATTAAATCTATTTTAATTCATGTAATGAACTATCGAGAGCAATAATATAATAAAAAAATTTGGTCCATTACCGAAATAAGGCATAATTAGCTTCGTAATAAGGACGTTCATAAAACTACGGTCATTTTCCATGTGCCTTTTTTTTAATAACAATCTGCTAAAGTGTTTGCTCATGTAATAGACTTTTAAAAGTATAATATATTAAAAAATTATTTTGTTAGTATGTATGTAATAAAAATCCTATATAAACAAAGAAATTTGTATTTGTTTGAACCAGTAACAGTAATGTAAATACATATAACAAAAAAATGCGATCATCTATAGATACTAAGAGTAAGATAGCAGCAACTGTTAAGGGTTTGAAGACAGTCGTCGGTAACACTATAAAGGATTTTTTAAAAACTGATCTCCACCAAAGATTGATTCTCTTTAATCCAAGACTTCATGGTCTATATAGCGGACGGTATATCTTTTTTTGGTAGGCCAATTTTTTTATTCAGTAAACTTGGTTTTTAGGATATAAAAACAAAGGATCATCCGCCAATAATTCCTCTTTTGTAAATAATTGAAACTATCACCATACAATAGATAAAAATCATAAAATTTATAACATACGTTCTGGATATTTCGTACAACGGCAAAGATCAAATTCAATTAGGAAAAACAGAGATAGAACATCAAAAACAAAGAGAATCCAAATGATTTGGGAATGTTTTCGTGGTATGGTGTTGGTCCTCTTGTCTCTATTCAAGGCTCTATCTATTATGACTGAATTATATATTAATACCCTTTATGAACACCTTTCGATGTTAGATAAATTTTCGCTCGTTGATGCAAACGGCATCCTTAGTTTCCACAAGATAATCCTAACACAAATGGCAAGCTTGGGCATGAAGTGCTAAGAAGGAAATATCACTACTTAATGATATTGGAGAATAATCAAGCATGATTATCTATATAAGATCAACAAACCCCGAAATTGGTCTTCATACCATATATTACTAAAGTTCTCACAACTATAATATGAATTATCTTATGGATTGACCGAAGATTTAAATCCAATTGAAAACGTGGCAAATAATTAAATACATCATGAGATAAATCCCAAACTTAAGAACACAGAGCTTCATCACATAGTGAAATATACAACTTGATTATTTCTGCTTACATTGAAGCCAATAGCAATTCTACAAAGTATTGATAGGTTAATAACATTTAAAGCTCAAAATATAAGCTACAAATATTTTATTATAAATTTACTTGCTGTATATACGTATTTATTAATACAGTCAACTCTTTCTATAACGAATTGACGGTTCTGGAAGAAAAAGAAAAGTTCATTATAGGAAATTACTATGTTTTCTTAAAGACTCATGGCACTTTCTATACCGAATTATTATGTAATTTTAAAATTTTGAGTTCGTTATATCCAGAGTTCATTATATATAGGTTCGTATATCCAGAGCCGACTGTATGAAATAAAGTGCCTATAATCTTATAAGTGTTCTTAGTTCGGGCCAATTTTTTATTATTTAGATTTTATTAGATTAAAATTATATAATAAGCCAAATTTTTATTATATAATACGTACGTACATAAAATTTATCTTTTCTTAAATCCATATTTTTTCCGTTCATAAAATAGATCCGTTTTCGATGATCCAAGATTCACAATCTTTGGACAGCCATCTCTCTAATTTGATAAAATTATGTTACCACTTATAAATAAAAACATAATAAAAAAAAAAGACTTTAGAAAAATAAAGATTACGTCTTTCTCTTGTAAAACACATTCTTTACAATAATAAGCATCCGAAACACCAGGCGCACCGCAAATCACACAACGTCCTTGGTAAGATCCATAATTGCACTCATCACAAATTCTAGAAAATAGTGTAAGGTGTTACATTCTCTGTTTTGGTTGTTACTAAAGATTACATATTACTAACCGAACAAGAGTATCTGGTCGTACGTATCTAGAAAAATTAAAATTTTCGACATAATTTAATTGCAATTAAATTTATATTAGGAGTTTTTTTTTTTTTTTTACTTACGAATCACAGATAACACATTTACCGTCACACTTTTCGCATAAACGACCAATGGCTATTGTTTAACGCAAGACATTAGCATATATCACGAAATATAATTTGTTTCGAAACAAAAGATTTCAAAAAAAAAATTATACCAATGCCAGGTTGCTTACGGCACATGATAAGATCGGGATGATGTTTTGCCATTGGTGATAATATTCAAGCGAATTTAGTTTGCTGGTTTCAAGTAGAATGAATCGAAGTAGTAAATTAAAGACTCAAACAAAACTTTCAAATTTATTTGTGATTACGTAATCAATATGCATTTGCTTGCTTAAGGGTAGGATTTTAAGAAGTTACACGGACCAAAATTAGCAAACGTGATTGGCGCAGCAAAATGGATGGCCAATAAAAAACTTGCCAATTTTACTTCTAAAAGACCCTACCCTTAAATATAACAATGGCCCATTGTTATTAAAGATTAAAAAAAAACTTACTCTCTTTTTAGAAATACATTTACGGTTATTGAATTTCTAATAAATCCTTAATTTAACACAGCGTTCGAAACGTTCGAAAGCGGGTATATTCCATATCGATAAGTTGAATCTTCAATTCGATACTAGATATGATCGATCGAGCATTTATCTCATTATGGGTTTATAACTATATAGCGATAGTATATTTACATAATTATAAAATACTTATACGTACTGAATAAATAAATAAATTTATACGTATACAATACGTATATATGCACAAAACAAAATATTATTATACTAATTTATATAGCGATAGTTTAGTGTCTGGATTAAAAATTGACGATATTCAAACTTCGAATGGTAAGAAAATTCGGCTTCATTTGATTTATTTGTGAAATCTGATTACTTGAATATATTTTTTTAACAAAAAAAATTTTTTTTAGATAATTATTATAGCAGATTTGTAAAATTTAATTTGATCTTTGATTTGATCTTTGATTTTAAATTCAATTATACCGTATTGAAAAGCACTTTACACTTCAATAAATTTAAATATTTGGTGATCAATAGAAACAAGCAAATTATTTTAGTAAATTTTTTTTAGAATATCTCAGCAACTAAAATCAGCAAAAATACCGTTCTTGATGGATCGTTGGTGCTGTTCCTGATAGAGTAAAAAAAATCGATTTACATACCATTCCTGATAGGGATCTAAAAAGGAGCTATGCTACTATAGCGAAGTATATAAAAAAAAGTTAGGATTTGGGTTCGTTTTTATAACCCTATCAGGAACAGTACTCAAATAAATTTTTTTGTAACTCCATCAGGAATAGTATTTTTGCATTAAATCAAATTTGATAAAAATTTCTCCATCAGGAATAGTATTTTTGCCTGTAACTATATAAGATTAAAATAAAAGAAAATTTATTAGGTTTAATAGTTGAGATATTCCTCTATCTAAATTTTAAAAAAAATTTACTTAGAAACAATTTGCTTAGTGTCTATTGACCACCCCATATATTAAATTTGGAAATATAAATAAAGATCAAATTCATCATAATGTTCTATATATAAAGTATAGAATCTAAATAAAAAAGAAGCCCTTGTTCAAAGTTTGAAAAATTTTACCATAATTCCTAAATTTTTACATTTCTAAACAGATTTTTCGGTAATTATCTAGTTTAATTTAATTGGATTCCAGGAATTGGTGAAAATTTTTTTCACTTAAATAGTATAGAAAAACTTCGACTTCAATAGACAATAATCACAAGGATGACCTGCGCAAATTCGCGTAAAATGCTAGGTTTACATTTCAGTGGCTTTGTGGCATGCTCGCGTCTCCGTGCCTCGAATCCTACTAATAACTCATCCAACTGATTAATAACATTCAAAAAAACAAAACCAACTTATTTAGTTATTCAAGTAGTTTAAAAAAAAGGTGATCATCAACTACAGCATTTCTACATCATTCTACACCAACAGCCTGAACATTCTACACCAACAGCCTGAACATTTCGTTACCTATATAAATATTGACCAGCTTTCTTTTCACACAAATAGGTTGAGGTGACAAAATACTATATTCCAGCTATTAATTAACAGGTCAAATTGCTATTGCACTTTATTAGAATATTCAGAAAGGGTTTCGCTTCAGTAACAGGGTTACTACACTCTATTGGATACAAATTCCTATTTTATCCATGTTCAAAATTTGATGGTGCAATATGAACTCTTTGGTATACTAAGATCATGTCAATTTAAAAATCTTTTGATTCTCATAATATAAATTTGAGCAAATCTGGCTTTTAAAAAATTTTTATAGATGTATCCACCAGGATAGTAAATGTTTAAGTTTTTGTGAAATTTAACCCGGCCGGGTTGTGAGAACCAATTTATTAAATTTGTATGCTAATTGAAAAATATAAATTTGAATTACAAGATAGATAAGCAGATAAATAAGGAAGAAACGAATTAATAAGTACTAACAACATATATTAGTTATGGATATAAAAGCTTATCTGATCTACCTTCCCTCCGTCATAATTAATAAGTGCTATCCTTCAATTAACTTGCTTACAACACTTTCTATAGAATCATGTTTTCTCTTAACAGGATCAGAAACAAATCCAGTTTTTGAAGACAAATGATCTTGTAAATTTTGTAAATCCGTCAATTTTTTTTGCGGTAAACTGCTTATAGCGCTACTTGATGTATAATTCTTTATAGACCGTAACGCTTCTTTTTCGGTAATCGTGGATTCACTTATGGTTTTAATAAGAATTGGGTTTTTAAACAAACGCAGTTGCGCCATTTTTAATTGACTTTACTAAAATTTTCGTGGGGTCAAATAAAAAAGGCCAATTATATTTAATTGAAAAACATGGTTACAAGATATGTGTGACTTAAAAACTATAAGATTATCACGCGTGTTTCCAACGTCAAACTTAAAAAATGTTCACACCAAAACCGACTTCAGTAGTTCTTCACCTCCTAGCAAAAAATGGTCCTCAGACTAGTAAACAATTGGCTCGTCATTTACCGGATTTCCCTCAATTAAAATCAAAAAACTATCTTAAAAAATATATTTTGAAGAATATGAAACTTCGAGAACAAATTTTTAAAAAGAAATCAAGAAATCCTGATTTAACGAAATCAACAGGAGACAAGGCAGCATATTTATGGTTCGTTAACGATGAGAAAGTCAAGATAGAAAAATATAAAAAGTTACCGGTCGGAGGTCAATTATTTAAAATGCCACCGATTCGTGGTACACCCTCATAACGATAAATCTTTTCGAATTTAAAATCCAATCCTAATTCTAACAAAAAAAATGTTAGAAATTTTATATACAAAAACTTGTAAAAACTTTATACGTAATAACACTTAATAAAAACACATTAAGTGCAAAAATACTAAGATGTATTTATAAATAAATATATTAAACATTGTAACTAAATATATTGTACTGGATATAAATTTTATGCTTTTGACAGTAGAAAAAAATTTATTTTAAAAACTTAAACGGTAGACCGTAAAAATCGATGGAATATTTCTATTTCATGTAAGTAAAAGTCATAATTATGAAGAAAAAAAATTCAATAACTCGTGAAATATTAAACCAGTTTAATAGTTCTACTATTATCAGAACCGGTTCTATGATATTTGTTAGGAACTCGAGAGAAATTTACTTGGTATAAAAAAACTTTTGATTGTAAGCTAGCAGTATTCTAAATCTATAAAAAAAGTATTCTAGTGTTTACCTCTTAAATTTTGTTATATTGTAATTATTTTATTAATATATATTGTATTAATATATGTAGTATCTTTTTTATATAAATAGTTACTTAGCTGAATAAGTAGGTGTATTGCTAACATGTATAGTAATAATAAAATAGTCATAGTGGTTTTAAACCTAAAAAAATTAATAATAATAGCTAACATATAGTAAATGTAAAGAAAATTGCTATTATATACCAAATAATTATATAGTTACTTTATATTTAATTACAAGTAGTATTAAAGTTGCAAATTTGCAACTCTTTCTGATGATCCTCTGGTCAACAATTCCAAAAATCTGAACTATGGTCAGTGTTATAGAAGACATCAAAGGGTGATAATATATTTGGTTCTACACAAGTAGGTGTGTTGTCGACAAAGTACCAAGAGTGTAAAACCAAGGAGCGGACTACTTTGTATGGTTTTTGTAGAGGTCAAACTTCTCTACTAGGTGGACTCCTCTATTATATTTGGCATCCAAACCAGAAGGGTATTCTGAGAACACAGAATGACTAGATCGACACTAAATATATTAAAAAAACTGGAGATAGTATCTATACAACTGTAAAACTTATAAGGAAGAACCCACAAAGTTTCATTGGCCCACCACTTTTTTCGAGAAAATTTTGTCAAAAAGTAGGCGTCTTAGCTTACCCTTTCTAAAAGATCGACATGTAAATCTTCAAAACAGTTGGTATTATTTACCTAACCCAAAACGGGTTGGCCTTCTAAAACGGGTTGTTTACTTTTAGTAAATATGAATCGATGGGTATCCAGATTAAGCAACCGAATACATCTGAAGGACAACACAATTAGGCAATATGTCTCGACTAAAAGAAACTATTTAAACAATACTTCAAGACTATTAGTATTTTTTTTAACTATTCTGTCTAGTCTAGTTTAAATCTACTATTTTTTCTTTTTTTTTCTAGTGTGGATTAGATATATTATTAGAATAGAGTTAGATACAGAGCTTCTTTATCTTGTAATATGTAATTTTTGTTAGCCTGACACAGGTTTATAATTGTGACTATTAGATTTTTTTTTTCTTTCATTCTTACCCTTTTCTCCTTTTTAGTATTAGTATTAGTGTTTGTATTTTTTTCTTTTTTTTTACTTCCCTACGAGAAGATGTCATCAGATTGGTGATATCCTATTGTAGAGCGGTGGTCTGATATGGCTTTCTAAAATAGGTAGTCTTCAGATTTACCATGATATGTCTCTTGTAGATTTATCTGCCTAGTGCAGCAGGTCACTTGAAAGTGCTCTTAGAAGTAACTATAGGATGTCAGGCCTAAATATTAAGCTTAAAGTATCTTGTCATATCTATAACAAGACAATCTTAATAAAAGATCACTGGCAAGACTGCCAAAGTTGGAACAAAAAAAATAAGAATAAATAATAATAAAATAATAAAAAAAAGTATAAATCTAAAATGAAATCTGATCAAAATAGAAATTTTTGTTTTTTAAAGAAATTTTAAAATTTTTTGGAAGTTATTTTTTGAGGCTCTTTTTAGTATTAAAGTAGGGTTTAGAGTTAGATTTATTAATAAATAAGTATATATGGGTTTTTATAGGCTTTAAGAGTAGGCATAAGAGGTTTCCAGTTTCATTTTGATCAGATTTTATTTTACTCTGCAACAATAATTAATTGTTATTCATTAGTCAGATTGTCTTCATCTAAAGGCTTTTTGTATTAAGCTAGACACTTTAGAATCTTTAAATAAAGTTGTAGAGCTTATAAAGATGAATTTAATAGTAGTTAAATTATCACAATCAGCCTAGTAGATGCTAAAAAATTTTTGGAAAATGTTTTGCTAACTATATAAAATTCTTTGTAAAACAATACAAAAATTTTTTTATAATTAGCAAAAAGTTTTCAAAGATATCTATTTACTATACTGATTTTGATAATTTAATTATCATTAGATTCATTTTAATAAGCTTCACAACTTTACTTAGAGACTCAAAAATGAGTAACTTAGTACAAAAAAAGTTTAGAGAATTACCAATTAATTATTAATTAGTTAAAAATCATATAATATTAATTTGATATTTGTTTATAGTTACACCTCTATACAATTATTATATTAGAGCACAATGGACTTAGTAATTATATAGAGATCTAACTGTATAACTTTGTTAATAACAAATACTATAACAGAACTTAAATATTTTAAAACTTTTAGGTTTTAAATCTTTAATCTGCTTTTAATATAATCTTGATTCAAGTAATTATTTGAAAAAAATAAAATTTTTATTTAAAATAAATTTATTTTTTGCTTTACTATTTTTTATAGGAAAATTATATTTATAACACCGTGTTATATAACACCCTATCACGTGACATGAATCAGTAAATTTACATTGCATAATGTTACACAAAATTTATTTCACGC